TCCCCAGCCAGCAAAGCTGGCTGGGGAATTCTGGGAGTTGAAGTCCTCCCCCCTCTTAAAGGAGCCAAGTTTGATTTTAAGGCGGAAAACCCCACTGAAATGCCCACAGAGATAGACTGCCTCTGCTTGCGGAGGCTCGTCTCCTCCTCCTCCCTTCCTTACCTTCCCTTTGGCGCAGGTGACGGAGCGCAGCGCCCCGAAGAAGATGGGCAGCAGAGCCATGACCACCAGGCTGCCGTAGGCCAGCGCCATGCCTTCCGGGGTGGCCGGGGGCCGCGCGCCGGCCGTGGGGGCTTCGGCCGCCCCGCTGCCGTTGTGCGCCTCGGCCTGCTCCATCTCGCAGCCCGCACTTCCGACCCGGCAGAGGCGGCCCCCGCAAGCGCCCAGGGACACGTTCCCTTAGCCAGCCGGAAGTGGGCCGCGGCGCATGCGCCGGCGTGGCGGCGCCGGCACGCCCCTTGGAAACGACGGCGGCCCGGCCCGTTGCTAGGCAGCCGACACCGCCCGGGCCTACTTGGGAGTAAAATGGGGAGCCTTCGGCTGGAGTAGAATGGGGGACCCCCCCACACACCCCCACCTCGGGCCTCGACTGCCGGGACCTGAAGCTACGAGGCCCTTTCCTCCTGCTTCCTCTCTACCCCTCGTTCCCCCCCAGACGCTGCGTTCCCACGTCGTGATGGCGAGACACGTGTCAGGAGCTGCTGATGCTGGGAGGACGACCCTGAATATTTGTTGCGCTTATGGCTGCGTTCCTGCTATTTGGCAGCAATTGCTATCTCTATAATTGCTGAGATTAGTGTTGCTGTTGCTGCGGTTATGATGGCACTTATGGCTGCAATTATTGGGGTGGCTGCTGCGTTTTGTTATTGCTTTTAGTGCAGTTATTATTTTTATTGCTGCGATTATTATTGCTATTGTTGCAGTTATTGCTATTATTGCTGCAATTATTGCTATCCTCTGGGGATTGGCCCAACGGCACCCAGCTGGCTTTTGTGCTTAAGGCAGGACTAGAACTCCCAGTCACCTGGTGATTGAAAAGTCACCTGCCCGGCTTTATTGCCAAAGGCAGGACTAGAACTCCCAATCACCTGGTGATTGAAAAGTCACCTGCCCGGCTTTATTGCCAAAGGCAGGACTAGAACTCCCAATCACCTGGTGATTGAAAAGTTACCTGCCCGGCTTTATTGCCAAAGGCAGGACTAGAACTCCCAGTCACCTGGTGATTCCAGCTTTCTTGTCAAAGGCAGGACTAGAACTCCCAGTCACCTGGTGATTGAAAAGTCACCTGCCCAGCTTTCTTGTCAAAGGCAGGACTAGAACTCCCAGTCACCTGGGGATTGGCCCAACGGCACCGAGCTGGCTTTTGTGCTTAAGGCAGGACTAGAACTCCCAGTCACCTGGTGATTGAAAAGT